GACAGTAAAAATTGTTGTGTGATGTAGCAAGTCACCAGAGCCAGCTGTTTCATAGCAGCAACTGTTTTACAGAGTTATCTACAGCCCTGGGTCACCTGTGAAATGAGAGCTCTTGTTAAATGCAGTGAGAATTTAGAAGAGCAAGCAGGTCACGGTCAGTAAAAGCATAAGAACAAAAGGACAGCTGCTCTTCTTCCTACTAAAAAGCCACAGGAGTTTGAGAGCAGGACTGGGCTTCAGCTGGCTTTAAAAAGGCATGAGTAAAATTCATGACAGGGGAATGCCAGGGAGGCAAAGAGCAGGTCAGCAGTTGTCTAGAAATAGCCATTGGAGTTTAGCTTGGAGTAACACCGGACCCAAAGGCTGGGGTGTCAAGTTGACATTGCTAAGCTTAGATCCCTACAAAACTTCCATCATTAGAGAAAAGGGTCTGAAATTTCTACCGAAGGGAACAGAAACAGAAAGCTGACACAGACACACGTCACCACATCTGAAAGAGGGTGTCACAGTAACTGGACACACTGGCACCTCGTGTCAGGACCAGCTGGATCTCATCACAGCCACGTTTCTGCCATCAGCAACTCCACACCTGCTTCGGTGTCAAATCTGCCAGTTCAAACTGCTCCCAGCAGTGATTCCAACCAGCCTGACTGGGCTCTGATGCATATCAGCAGCTCTGTGCTGCTCCCCAGCACATCACCTCCTCACTGCTGGAGATTTCCAAAGACACAAAACAGTATCTTCCACCAACACAGCACTTGTGGAGACAAACAGCTCTGTTTCAGTGACAATGTCAGTCAGGTAATTAAGGTACCTCTGAGTGCACTGTCAGCCGGCTCAGAGGAGCCAGGCACTGTCAGACTATAGCACTCCATGGATTTAGAGTATTTTCCCTTAGAGACATTTCTGAAACACTTGCATGTATGGCTAGATTAGGATTTCATCAAAAAGACTGCAGCCAGAAAATAAATTAAACTGCACTTACAACAACAACAAAAAAGGCTTGCATTACAGACTGGGCTGTCTTGTGGGCTGTTTATCAAAGTAATAAGGTCAGAGTAAGTAGGCTGAAATTAAAACTAGTTTCAGCCTGAAAGCACACGCCAGCGTACACTGATGGAAAAGAAGCAATTAGATTCTGAACTTTTACCCAGAATAAATTCTCAAGTACAAAAGTCACAATCGAGATACAGAATGGACATCAAAACATATGTCACATGTGCTCACTGGGATGTACAAATCTCGGTCCACACTTCCTGAGTAGTTCGATGGAATGAAAGAGTTAGGCTGCACCCTGGCTTGGGTTTTGTTTGTTTGGGGTTTTTGTTTGGTTGGTTTTTGTTTGTTGTTCTTGTTGGTTTTTTTTTTTTTTTGCTTTCTGATTTATAAACCAGCCCAAAGGTTTTTCCTGTTGAGAAACCCAGGTCATTATTTTTCCCACTGGATGACAAATGACAGCAAAACGAGACACTTTATTACTGATAAGGACTACGCTCAAAGGAATGAGAAGCAGTGTTAAAAGTGTCTCTTGTTACATAAATCACTCAGCCTAAAACCAACTGAAAACAGTCTCATTAAAAGTGAATGAAAAAGCTCTTCAGTCAGAAAGCTCCAAACACAAGTTTCTTTCTCCATCCTTAAGACTGTCCTGTAGAATTTGCCTATGAGATCTGAGATTTCTCAAGCATAGACTTAAAAAAAGTATAAAGTGAAAACAGCTGAAAAATACCTCTCAAGGTACCCTCTTGCTTAGAAACTGCCAGGTCATTCTCAAACTCTTTCCATTTACTTTAGCAATTCCTCCAGCCCTCAAATTATTGATTTTAAGTGAGAAAATTTAACAGACTCCCAGAAATGTTGGGAGGGGGAAGAATTACACTAGTCTGTCTTTTATTGTCTGACCCTGGTCTCCAACATATGCAACAGAGTAAGAAGCAGTAAAATTTCCTAGCACTGCTTTACTGGAAGTCCCCCACTGAATGCCAGAGCTGAACAAGGGTCAATTATCAGGCTGTATAACATAAAAGCCCATTAAAAAGGAATATTAAATGAGAAGCAGGTCTTCATTCACACCTCCAAGAGGCTGGTTCTGAAGCAATGATTATTTTTCCAGAAATTTTCCAGCATAGTCTTTACATCTGTGGTGCCTCAATAATGAAATGATGGTCCATAAAGAGCCTGACTTTTTCCCAGCTTTACATAAAAAAAAAAACAAACCACCTCCACACAAAATTGAGAACAAACAGAAACAGCATTTGGTGGTTCAAGGATGAGCCTCTTCGTGACTTGATTCAGACAGAAAACTGCTGTGAAATGACTGAGGCAGCTGTGCATTTTCTTCAAAGAGGTTGTGTACTCTTCTGGAAAAGGCCAAGCCCATTGCTGCTGCATCTCCAGCACCCCTGAAATGCCATTTCCTCATGTTGTGGAAATTTTCCCATAGATACACATTTTACACACACACCAAAACTTGCTGTAAGCTGGCAGGGGACTCTTTTCCACACACAACCAGCCATCATATCTTTAATGACCTGTTACATGTCCCTCCAAGAAAAGACAGAGTACTGCTTAACAACACATGAGCACAGGAGACATTAAAAACTCTTTAAGACAGACTTAAGTTGGTATGAAATGAGATTTCCCTCAAGAGAACTGCTAAAATCCTCTAAAGAGCATCTTCAAAGACACATGTTTTATGGGCACTGTTGAGCTCTTGTGGAAAAAGCCAACAGGTTTAGCCAGATTTTTCCACATCATCTTCTGGCATTTTACAGTTTTCAGAATTAAGCCAAGAACAGAGAAGCCAAGAAGTTTTTGTTTGAAAGCAAGAAAACAGGGAGTTGTTTTTTTTTTTTTTTTCAGTTTTCAATTCCTTTTTACTAGGATGCCAGGAAAATGAAGTCTTCCTAAACACAGGCCTAAGATTTAGCAACAGTCCTTTGTGTTATTATCCAGAACTTGATTCCACTTCTTGTCTCAACTGTAACTTAAACAGGGATCCTGGAAAATATTATGACATCAAATAAAACATTACTGATAAGAACTTTTTAAACACTATCAAAAAAAGCTGTTTCTCCAGTGCCAGAGAGAATAAACTCAGAAAGAGGAAATTTCCCTGGCTCTGTGTAAACTATGCAGTGATTTTAAAAAGCTACACTATGTTTCAGTGTTAGTAGTGATGTACATAACATGAGAAGCTAATTCTGAGCTAAATGGGTTCAAGTTAAATATTGTTATTCATGTATTTAAAATATTTATTTCTTTTATTAATATTTACCCATCCCCATGAGCTGGAAGACAGGAATGGAGAAGCAGAAAGAAGCCCCCATAATCCAAGGGGAAATCCAAGGGGAAATCCAAGGGGAAATCCAAGGGGAAATCCAAGGTTAGCAAGCTGCTACACCACTTAGACACACACAAGACTACATGTGGATGGGATTCACCCAACAGTACTGAGGGGGCTGGTGGAAGTGCTCCCCAAGCCACTTTCCATCATTTACCAGCATTCCTGGCTCCCCAGAGATGTCCCAGTTGACTGGAGGTTGGCAAATATGACACCCATCTACAAGAAGGGCTGGGAGGATCCACGAAACTACAGGCCTGTCAGTCTGACCTCAGTGCCAGGGAAGATCATGGAGCAGATCATCTTGAGTGCCATCACACGACACATACAGGACAACCTGGTGATCAGGACCAGCCACTGTGAGTTTGTGAAAGGCAGGTCCTGCTTGACCTCCTTCTATGACAAGATGACCCTTGTCTGTGGATGAGGAAAAGGCTCTGGATGTTGTCTCCTAGACTTCAGTCAAGCCCTTGACACCATTTCCCACAGCATTCTGCCAGAGAAACTGGCTGGGTAAAAAGAGGCTGGATGGATAAGGTCAAAGAGTGGTGGTGGATGGTGCTACATCCAGTTGGCAGCCTGTCACCAGTGGTGTCCCTGAGGGCTCACCATCGGGGCCAGTCCTGTTTAACACCTTCATCGATGATCTGGACAAGGGGATCAAGTGCACCCTCAGTCAGTTTGCAGATGACACCAAGTTGGGTGGGAGCATTGATCTCCTGGAGAGCAGGAAGACTCTACAGAAGGATCTGGACAGGCTGGAGAGATGGGTTGAGGCCAATGGTATGAGGTTCAACAAGGCCAAGTGTCAGGTCCTTCACTTGGGTCACAACAACCCCAGGCAGTGCTACAGGCTGGAAAAGAGTGCCTGGGAAGCTGCCCAGTGGGGAAGGACCTGGGAGTGCTGGTTGACAGTAATTGAACATGAGCCAGGTGTGCCCAGGTGGGCAAGACAGCCAATGATATCCATTGGCTTGTATCAGGAACACTGTGGCCAGCAGGACCAGGGAAGTGATTCTGCCCCTGTACTTGGCACTGGTGAGGCACCTCCAGCACTGTGTGCACTTCTGGGCCCCTCATGAGCAGAAAGACATTGGGGTGCTGGAGCAGGTCCAGAGAAGGTTAGTGGAGCTGGAAAAGGTCTGGAGCACAAGTCTGATGCAGAGCAGCTGAGGGAGCTGGGGGTGTTTAGCCTGGAGAAAAGGCTCAGGAGAGACCTCATTACTCTCTACAAGGAGGTTGTAGCCAGGTGGGGGTCAAGCTCTTCTCCCAGGTAACAAGTGATAGGGCAAGAAGAAATGACCTCAAGTTGCACAGTGGAGGTTTTGATTGGATATTATGAAGAATTTCTTCATGGAAAGCATTGTCAAACATTGGAACAGGCTGCCCAGGCAGTCTGCAGGAGTCACCATCCCTGAAGGTATTTAAAAGACATGCAGATGTGGCACTTATGGATACAGTTTAGTGGTGGCCTTGGGAGGGTTGGGTTAATGGTTGAATTTGATGATCTTAAAGGTCTGTTCCAACCTAAACTCTACGAGTCTACGAAATCTCTTAATTCACAAGTGGGAAGCTTAGGAGGTAAATAAGGGAAGGGGTACTACAGGAAGACAGGTTTTTACGTTGCCTTTTAGGGTAAAGAAATTGCACCACTCACCTCCACTAAGTAACTTCATCACCAGCCAAAGCTCATCTTTCACCACGAA